GGAGAGAGAGAGAGAGAGAGAGAGAGAGAGAGACAAAGAAAGAAAGAAAGAAAGAAAGAAAGAAAGAAAGAAAGAAAGAAAGAAAGAGAGAGACTGGGAAACAGAGAGGGAGGGAGAGAAAGAGAGAGAGAGGGAGGGGGGAAAGAGAGAGAGAGAGAGAGGGGGAGAGGGGGAAAGCGACAGAAAGGGAGAGAGAGGAAGAGAGAGGGAGAGAGAGACAGAGAGAGAGAGAGAAAGAAGGAGAGAAAGAAAAAAGAGAGAGAAGACAAACGAACACGTAGACAAACAGGCTGACAGGCAGATAGACAAAAAAGAAGGCAACCGATGAAAGAAGAACAAACAAAAAGAATAGAGTGAATAGTAAAGACCGAGTAAGGTAACACGAGAAAACATGAAAAAATACAGTTAGAATTCATATTTTTTATTGCCCCCCCCCCCCCACCGACAAACTAATACACAGCACATAACCCAATATTTAATCGCTGGGCACATTTTGCTTATGATGGAAGAAGAAACTAAGCTATTAGTATTATCTTGTTTCATTTGCAGTTAAATGCATCTTCATACATTTGTGCCCAGCGATTAAATATTGGGTTATGTGCTGTGTATTAGTTTGTCGGGGGGGGGGACAATGAAAAATATGAATATGACAAAAAAGACGTGCTTATTATGATCTACAAAAATGAAGAACAGGTTGGAAAGTAATTTTAAAAAACACACAAAAAAACAACGAAGTTGACTCAATTCTTTGTCTCCAGTGGTATTCTACGGTGGGTGCGCCGTGGGCATGAGCTTTATTGCTGGCACGTTGGAAGGAACTGTGTTGCAAGTGAGAAAATATGGCTGTTCGTCAACTCCAAACATGTGTGGTTCGTGGTGAAATCAGGTCCTCGTTAAAATAATGAAATCGAAGAAACCGACACCCGTAGGGCAATTCTTATCGATTTTTAAGGTTGTTTTTTTTTGTTTTGGCTTAACAACTTTTATATCCATTAGAAACATATTCTACTGTGGATTTTACTGAAGCACGTTGGTGAGAGGTTTGAGAAAAATATAAATTTGCAGTTTCAAGGGACCCTCTGCCTTTAAAAAATCACCAAACTGTACCAGCCATTCTCTCGTCAATTTTACGTATGACACGGACCCCCCCCCCCACATCTTTCAATTGCAAATATCTCAACTTCTACCAAATATAGACGGATGTTAATTTTCTTTAAACTAAAGCAGTGTAAAAGAAGAGGCTCTAAGATGATACCAATAACTCCATTTGCTACAAAATTTTGACGATTGCCTGACTCCACCGTGTTGTGACACATTTCTATGTCCGTTTGTCAACGTGTTTGTATTTGTTCCTGCCTCTCTGTATTTTTGTTTGCATGATACTATTAGTCTGTGTCTGTTTGCCCTTCTACTTATGCGTCATCTATCTATCTATCTATCTATCTATCTATCTATCTATCTATCTATCTATCTATCTCTCTATCTCTCTATCTCTCTATCTATCTCTCTCTCTATATCTCTCTATCTCTCTATCTCTCTCTATCTCTCTATCTCTCTATCTCTCTCTCTCTCTCTCTATCTATCTATCTATCTATCTATCTATCTATCTATCTATCTATCTATCTATCTATCTATCTATCTATCTATCTATCTATCTATCTATCTGTTTTTGTTGTTGTCCCTTGCCCATTTCTATGACATTGATGCCATCTGATTAGTAGAAAAATGTGCGTATGGTAGTGTCCCATAGTGTATTACGTACATAATTGTTATAACATGTAACTGTTACATATAGATATTCAAGATAATTATTGATGTTTGTGACGGATCTGAGAGCAATGATGATTTTATAAATGACAGTGGTGTTGGTGGTAAGTGATGATTTAGGATGGTGTTTATATATAATTATTAAGAAGACATGCTTATGTTATTTTCTATTTTGATGTTAGAGTTAGTCCTATTTTCCTTTGTCTGATGAGTCACGAGGGATGTTGGCAGCCGCTACCCTGTTCCATTCTGGAACCATCTTTAATGTCACCGTGAAGTTCTGAAATGGTGGGCACAGTCTTTACTAAGGTGACCTCGTTAGTATTAGCCTATTCTAGTGGGCCAAGAAACGTGAAGAGAGGACCTTAGTAGGTAGACAGTACAGTGGCAGATATGTTGGGGATTTCGTAAGGGGGTTATAGGTAGTAAGTTGACAACTGGGTTATAGACTTAATAACATATTTTACTCCCTAACTATTTATCTCAGTTATTCCTTTCGAGTCTTATTTAAACATGAAGTTGCGGAGATTCCGACACAGGATCCTCGAAACCGAGTCGAGAGGGAACAATTTACACACACTATTGTATCCCCTCGCCTCAGGGTGAGCGGCCTCAAACTCCACAATCAAGCACCCTGTGTCTGCATCTCCACGGTCTCGTCAAACATCTGTGTAATTTCCACAATGACATTTGAAAATAACTCTTAAATTTGACAAATCATTTACTGTGTAAATCTGGATGTGCTTTTGTCGGATAAGTTACTACTATCTATCTATCTATCTATCTATCTATCTATCTATCTATCTATCTATCTATCTAGCGTCTTTATTTAAAATAACCTTACAGTAATTAAAGAGGCGTATAATTCATAAAGCCTCCGCAGATGGTCATTAGATTCCGGGTTAAAAATGACCTTATAGAGGTTCAGCAAATATACTGCATCATACCATTGGTAAATGATTGTTTAATCACGGACCTTTCCTTTAAAATAATCGTGTAGTGTTCAAAGCACCGGCAATTTCATTTTACCTTTCGCTGATAATTATCATTAAACTTGCTTTCTTTCTTATTAAAAAAGCAGGGCGTTCAATTTGACCTAAAATTCATACCATATTATAACATCATTGACATATTATGGCTGTTCAACTCAAAGATGTTTCCTTTTAATTTACCTTTCAGTATTCATAATAGTATATTACAAACATTCCATCTTCTTCAGGCGTAGTCAGGCCTGGAGCAGACCTTGACGATCATGGTACTCCACTCATTTCTGTTTTGTGTCTTCCTGATCGGCTCAGTTTTAAACACTTTTTTTCTGATGCAAAGTTGTTCTGGTCGTCTATGCACCCTGTTCTCTATCTTTCTCTGCTCTTCCTTTCCTCTATCTTTCTACACAGCAGCTGTTTCTCTTGTCCATTTGATCTATTTCTGTGGCCAAAGAATCCCAGTTGCCTTTTTGTGAGGATTGTGGTTATAGATCTTTCCGAACCTGCCACTTCTCTACTGTTTTCCTCTCTGTCCATGAGATTATGAGTATTGTCGTAAAATACGACATTTCGGCGGCTTCCAGTCTTCTCCCCGACGTCTCCTTGTCCTTGTTTAGTGTGAAACTCTCGCATGTATACGTACGCTTTTATGGTTCTTATTATTGTGTTTACTATTATACTTCAGTTTGAGAGAACAGCTTTTTATCTTGTTAAAAGTTTTGTTTCTTTAGATATTGCAATTCTCTCTTTAAAAATTCACTGTGCCATTGTTGGAATCTGCCCTAAGTACTACCAACGTATTTAAAGCTGTGACCTGTTTTATTCCTTCGTTCTTACATGAGATGTTGTATTCTGGGATGTCGGCACAGTTTAAAAGACCACTTTGCATTCCGTTTACTTGGCGGGCACTTGTACCCCTTTCTCCTCGCTTTTCTCTGTCACTCTAGTTAGAATTTCATGGAGTCGGACTCAGAATCAGCTATGAAAACTGTATTATGAGCATTCTATGGATAGTTCATTATATTGTAGCCGCCTACCTTGACTTTCTTCCAGATTGCTAATGTTAAGTAGTACCCTTTAGCTGTATAAATTAAAGAGATGTGGAGATAATAAACATCCTTGTCGTATTCCTCTGCGGATTGGCCTGTATTTGTTTAGCTCGTTCTACCATGTATATGAAGCATACGTTTCACATATGGTCGTTAGATTCGCGGGGGTGGGGTCGGGGTGTTCCTTGTTTTAAATTAACACTGTAGTGATTTCACAGAAAAAAATAGAAGGAAAAAGGGGAAGGGGTGGACCAACCCCCCCCCCCCAACGTATTTAGAGAACTAGAACAAACAAGTAACAGGAAAAGACCAGGAAATTATAACAATGTGTGAGGCGTGCCGACAAAATGAGTTGTTACTGTTGTTGTTATTTTCAAATCCCTTTAGACGCTAGTATTTCGCCTTTGGCAGCGCAGTGCCTCCTTCAAGAAACAACATGCCTTTGTCATCTAGTCAACGTCAGAGTAGAGTAGGCTTTGAAAGTTTGAAGGTGTTTGTAGGAGCCTGCGTCGAAGAACTGCCAGGTTTGAGCTGTGAAGGAGAAGTTGTTCAACGGTATCCTCGTGGTAGTCACATTGTTTGCAATGGAGTTCCCACATGGGGTTAATCTGCTTGTTGGTGTGTAAGTGTTCTGTGCAGGTTTTGAAGATCAATGTCTGATCGACTTTACATAAGAGACTCGAAGGTTCTTTGGGGTTGTGTTTGTCAATGTACCCGAAGAGAGATCTTCCTGTTTCTGTGTTGGCCAATCTGTTTAGCCATTCGTCTCTGCTTTTGGCTTGGATGATCCCTCTTCAGGTCTGAAAAGAGGCGACTGTGTCTCCCTAGGGCAGGCTTGCTCCAGTCTTTGATAGCTGATCTGCAGTCTCATTCCCTTGTACTCCAGAAGGGCCAGGCACCCACTGCAGTGTGACCCGGCCGCCATATGACGTGCCCATCTGTTTTACAAGGCTGAGAATGTTCCCGTCACCTCAGTAGTTTCCTCCTCCCTCGACAGCTTGGAGTACTGACATTGAGTCAGAGAAGACAACAACACCCCCAGGTGTTAGTGAGCCTTCAAAAAAGTCTTGGGTGATCTTCTTGGTTATCTTGGTTAAGATCTATGGCAACTCTATCGGCGTCATAGTTGGAGCTGTATGATTCACACGGGCCAAATAGTTGGGTCTGCTTCTTCTCTCCAAGGTTGTTTCGATATTTGATGATAGATCCGTATCCAGCATTCCGTGTAGCGTTTGTCGCTTACCAATCTGTGTATGCGAGAAAGTGGAGTTTCAGTATACGAGTCCACTGTCTCCAGAGAACTAGTTCTGAGGATTTCTTTTGTGTGGTCTAGTCAAGGACAAAATGAGTTACTTCTCGCAATCAAAGAACGGAGATATTGGCAAAAAATTGACACAAGGGTTATATTTGTAAATTCTAAACCAAGGCCATTCTCTTCAAGCTTAACATGACTTTTATTATTTCATTCTAATAAATTAAAAAAAACCCCGCAAACTATAAACCTGGCGCCTCTATTTCCATCGGGCTAATATCCGAGAAGTAATTCATTTTGTCAGCACACCTCAAAGGCTTTTAAAAAAAACTGCAGCTGAGCAGAGAAATAGCTGGAGAACCATGATCGCTGATGTCTTTTTAAGATCTAGTACTCCATAATGATCTGTGAGTTCATAAAGTAAGGCTTTACATTCATGCCTTATCTTACCATCTGCAGGCAACTGTGAGCTTAATGGCAACCGCGGCTGGACCTCTGACTGGCATGTTTGTGTTAGGTGCTTTCTTCCCCTGGGCAAACGCATGGGTAAGACAGGACATCTCTCTCTCTCTCTCTCTCTCTCTCTCTCTCTCTCTCTCTCTCTTTCTCTCTCTCTCTCTCTCTCTCTCTCTCTGTTCGTGTATGTGTATGTGTACGTGTGTGAGCGTGTGTATGTGTGTGTACGCGCGCGCGCGCGTGTGTGTGTGTGTGTGTGTGTGTGTGTGTGTGTGTGTGTGTGTGTGTGTGTGTGTGTGTGTGTGTCTGTGTGTGCATGTGTGTTCATGAATGTGCAAATTATGTATGTATGAGTATCTGTGTGTCCGTGTGTTTATTTACCGTTATGTTTAAGTGTATATTTTAGGACTGTTTTTATGCTCTCAGGTCATGTTTGAGTGGATATCGTACGGTCTTTGAGGTCAGATTTGAAGGGACAAGCCAAGACTCTCTTTATCATTCTTCTGGTAGTGCTACAGTTTAAATACGCATAAGGGGGAATTTCCAAGATACATGTATATTAAAGACCCATTGAAACCATTCTTTAGGGGGCTCTCTACATCTAGTAAATATCTGGCAACTTGGAACACATGTGTCACTTTTACCATAAAACTACGACAACTACAGAGTTGAAAGTTGGCAAGAACATGCCAAAAGATAGATAGGTCCCCATGACGAAGCCCGATATTTTATTTATTAATTTCCAGAATTTATAAAACTATATTTGACAAAAAGTTCCCGTCCTTCTTTGGCCTTTGTGATTATTCCACTGAGGAACGAAACAAATCTGCGTAGCTCTCCTTCATAACGGAAGTGCAGGGAATGATCTCTGTGCCTAGGCTTTACAGCTAGACACTAGACACTGCTTCTGTGATTTTGAAGAAATTGGTGCTTTCCTTTTACAGTGTAGCAGCCCTTTCGTGGATTATTATTTTCTTAGTGCTTTATTTGTGATGGTGTAAGGCGAAACCCAGATCTAGATTGTCTGTTTATGTGTTGTACTTGTTACAGATCAAATGTAGATCAGAAAATTGTTTGGGACACAGAAGGTAGGCCTACCACTGACCTGGCTGGACTCGATTCATGTTTTGTGTTTAGAACTAGATCTACTGGCCATTCGTTTGGGTGTTGTACTTGATCCAGATTTAGACATCTGAATAAGGATTTTAAAACATCGTTTGGGGCATGGAAGGAAGGCCTACTAGACCTGTATTCTATTTACGTTTTGTGATTAGATCTACAAATGTACTTGATTAGATCGTGCCCAAGGTCAAACCATATCAAGACATATCTAAAAAGAGTCTACTAACGCATTATTATTGTGGATCTATAGAAATAGAGAACTTAATCAAGGCAGATCTAAAGCAATAATGTAGGTCTAGAGGCCAGGCGCATTTTGTGATTGTGAAGGTAAAATCGTGCACAAGGCCAAACCAGATCAAGACAGATCTAAGAAGAGTCTACTAACGCATTATTATTTTCACAAAACCCACCCTTTTTCCTATTTTAGCGTTGGATATTAACACCTCCAGGCAACACGTGCTGTTGATGAATGTGGAAGTCTTCATCCTGTCTGCCCTTTGGTGCCATAAACATAACATGTTGCTTATGAGTAAGCCTATTCTTGTTTTTAATAGTGTTTTTTTCTGTTATAGGGAGCGATTACTGGTGCCGCTGTGGCGTTGACCGTATGTATGTGGCTCTCTATTGGCTCCTACATCGCTGGTGTGAACTATAAGGCTATTCCCTTCCCCACCGGCACCTGTTCCATAGGTATTTTGAACAGTACCACGACAACCGTTGCCATGACGACGAGCATTGCAACAACTGCTGCTATGAGTACAGCTGGCGCTCCTCCGGTGCCAGAAGACAGTTCCATTGAGTAAGACTGGGAAATTGGGATGATGATGATGATGATGATGATGATGATGATGATGACGATGATGATGATGATGATGATGATGATGATGATGATGATGATGATGATGATGAAAATGATTATGATGATGACGATTATGATGATGATGATGATGATGATAATGCTGGTGCTGCTGCTGCTGCTGCTGATTTTTGTTTGTTTCCTTAATGGGCCTGGTGGACGCTACGAAGAAATCTTCGAGTGAGAGCGAGGCTCTTTTTCGGCTCCATTGTCATTATACTTAGAGGTTAGAGGCACCTCCACTCGTCCAAATAACTCCATTTGAATTAACATTGTTCTTTGACATTCAAACATGCGTGTGACACCCTCCTTTTCATGGCTACATCTTCGGCAACGTGGGCTGAGCGCTTCATTCACAAAGTTCTTATACCATCTCAAGCTCCAATGATGGTCCGACTGCAGTCTCGCTAGCTCAGCCTGATGATGATGATGATGATGATGATGATGATGATGATGATGATGATGATGATGATGATGATGATGATGATGATGACGATGATGTTGATGATGATGATGATGATGATGAGGATGATGTCCCTTATTAACCTGAGAACAGTCCTTAACAGATTTTCATGTTTTTTTAGTGTATATTTTTTTTCTCCAAATAAACGAACTGTGGAAATTTGTTCTGGAGAAAAGGTAGCTTACACGTCATGCCACATACGTGACTTACATGCATTGAAAAGTTATTATCTTTCGTTGGATTGAACTTTGACCTCTTGCACAAGCACGCCACAAGCGTCTGTTTTAATCGACATTAAAATGGAAAGTTCGCAGCAAATTGCTACCCCAGAATTACTAAGCTCTGCTCAAAACCTAGTTTCGAGAAATTAGATGTCAATCCTTTTTTAGTTTCACAATATGTGAGGCAGCGTGGCGGAATCAGGCTCTCGTCAAAATAATCAAAGTGAAGAAACCCACATTTTCCCCAAGGTTTGTGAATTTTTATTAAACATTTTTTGGGGCTCAACACCTTTCATGCCCATTAAAGAACTCATTTCTGTGTGGATATTTCTGAAAAACGTTGATTAAAGGCACAAATGTGTAAATTTTTTGTTACCACGGACTCTTAAGCTAAGGATATAACTAATCTTGGGCGGCCATTTTCTCCCTAATTCTACCTCTGAAAAGGGGTGACCCCCACCTCCTTCATTCAGAAATATCTCGACTTTGTACTGAAGATAAATGGATATTGCTTTCAACCAAATAAAGACAAGTGAACAAGCTTTAGGATTATACCCATGACTCTACATGCCCAAATATTGACGAGAGCCTGATTCCACCGCGCTGCCTCACTCACATATTATGTCAAGCTTTTTCGAATGAAATTATTCTTTGAATATATTGATAACGACTTGCGATTTTGATAGAGCAGATAGAACATAATGATGGTTTCTGACCTCATGGTCTTATAACTCAAAACGGCCAAAAATGTCAAATAGAACTTTGTAATTCTAAGGTAACGCAATATTATTCGTAGGAACATACGCAGCAATGTTGTTTCGGTCCCTTTCTGCACCGTCATTTAGATTAGGGCCAACACGTCAAATTTGGAATTCAGGCGTCTGTGGTGTAGTGCTTAGACTCTTCGCTGTCGCACGCAGGAGACCAGAGTTTGATTTGCCGACTGGGGAGAACATTCCTATCGAGCATCTCAGTCTATCTGTTGGTATGTTGTATCCTTCTTATCCCGGGTTGGCCCTGACAGGCAGGGTAACACATCTGCTTTTTTAACGATCTAATTTATGTCGATAGGGGCGTAAAACGCATATATTAAAAAAAGAAGTGTAGAATACCGTATTGTTGTTCAAAATAATGCGTCTTCAACTGTCTCAAGAACTGCATTAGTCTCTCTTTTTGTTTTCATTAGTGACCCTTCCACTAAGGTTTCTTTAAGCTGTACCCCATTTGATTTCATTTCTTTCCATATAGCTTTCAAAAGTCTCCTTATGCCGTCCACCACATTTCTGGTGCCGCAAAAATATTTCCACTATCTAGTAACTGACAAGAATTGCCAGCCGTATGGAGGGGTTGATCACACAGATCTCGTTTATTTTGTTATCATTCAAATATTTCAATGTTTCCGGATTTGACTCATTTTGTAGAAACAATTTTTAGTTATAAAAGTGTGTTTTGCGTTCATGTGTGATTATACGTCCTATAGATCTATGCCTAAAATTTTGAAGGTATTTGATCTTCTCCCCTTAGCGTATGTGTTAACTGTAGAGTAATTACATCTCAGATGAATACAGAAATACGGGAACAATTCACGTCATTATGTCTGCTACTGCTAGATTACGAATGAACAACATGTATAACTACTGGTACACCACAGACGTCAATGCTAGCTTCTAGTGAGGGAGTCAGAGATTGACCTTACGTTATATTCATTTTTCTTTTTATATGTGTCACGCTTTGTCAGTTTGTAAATGAAGAGCTAAATGAAAAAAATAACCCACCAACAGGACAATAACACGAACAAAAAAAATCCCTTGACTTCCATTTCGAACATAGTATTAATATACTTTCCACACTGATATCCTTTAAGATTTTTAAAGCGAGCTGTGCCTACTTTGGTTGAACGTATTATGATAGCAAAAAGGACAAATATCGATATACAATAGGATTCAGTGATATTATAGTAAACAGTTGGCCTAGTGTGAGTTTTCGAGCTATTTACATTTACAATTTTTCAAAAGTGAAAAAAAAAGTGACATCATAAGTGTTTTCCTTGCGTCTTTCATGTGGCTTGTTTTTGATTAACTTCCTTGGGCGGGGGGGGGGGGGGGGTCTCGTGGTCTAGAGGTACGGTGTTCCCCTCACATTCAATAGGCCCCGAATTCGAAACCTGACTGTCGCAGAAGGTTTTCTCCTTTCACCGCCTTCCTGTTCTCTAATCATGTTCTGTCATCTGCTTTCATTTCCACTTTCCCTGCCCCCCCCCCCCGGCTTTCTACTGCTTCTGCTTAGTTCTTTCTTGTTGCTGATCTTTGGGTGGTATGGTTCTTTTCATCTATGCAGACGGTCAATTTAGCTTAAGATGGTCACAAGGTTGTCTTCGTGCAGCTTCTTTTATTGCTAATTCTTCCTATATTTGAAGCGCAGATTCTGTCGCAGTGCTTGCATATCAGCGAGATAGATCGTAGCTATGTATTTCCGCTGTTTTTCTTACGTCGTTGGCTCTTCTCAATCTGTTTGTTTCTGATGCTGCTCTCTAGCATTATAGTTCTTTCCTTTGTCAGCTTCCTCCTTGTTTTGCTGTCCTCAGCTATTTCTTTCCAGATGCTGACATCTACTCCAAGCTTAGATAGGCTGTTTTTGTAGGAGTTTTTGTACCTCAATTTGGGCTTTCTTCGTGGCCTCTTTTCCTTGGCAAGTTCTCCATAGTAGAGAAGTGGCTTTGGAAATCGGTTGACGTCTATTCTCTTGACATGGCCCAGTCATCTAAATCTTCTTAAACACAGGATAGTTGTCATGCTCTGGAGGATTGCCCTGGCCAGCACTTCATCATTGGTGACCTTGCCACGCCACGCCCCGAAATGCCTAAAAAATTGCGGCAGCATCTAAGATGGAGAATGTCAAGGCGCTTTTCTTGCCTGCTGTACAAGGTCCATGTTTCAGAGGAGTGTCCTGAGGACACATGCTTCGTAAATCTTGATCTTTGTTTTGATGGTTAATCTTTGTTTTCCTCTGCTCGTTTTGTCAGCCTTCCAAAAGTTGTTGCTGCTTTCCCTATCCTGATGTTGATCTGATCATCAAGTGATGTAGTAGAGCTGATGGTAGACCCCAGGTAATAGAACTTCGGGAAGGTAAGATCTAACACCTAGCCTCGGATAAGGGCGAATAAGTCTCGGAGGTCCCGTGTGCAATTTGCGTACACTAAAGCTCCCTTGTGGTCCTAAAATCAATAAGAGTAGGCTTCAACCGCCATCCGGTTAAAATTCAAAATTAATTCCTTCCACACTGAAATAAATGCTTAATGTGTCCCTCGCGCCTATATGGCCGTATGTACCTGCAAGCGCCGTAAAACACTTTCCAAAACATACCATAATTTTATCGTTTGTTTTTCAGTCTATCCCTGAACCTTCTATTTGTTACGCTCATATAACTATTGTAATCAACTGACACCTGTTTTGGAATGCTTTTCACAGTGAGTTCCTGAGCTACATGTACTCCATCTCGTACATGTGGTACACAGCCATCGGCATGACTGTGGTCGTCATTGTTGGCCTTCCTGTCAGTTTTCTTACAGGTATTCTAGCTTTACCGAGTAGTCAATACACTTGTAGGGGATAGAGTGCTTTATAATTGCAATCTATTATACAGTGGCTTCCAAAAGAAACTTGAAATTGTAATTACCCTTCCACCGTCTTAAAGCCTTGCATTACCTACTCCTGTAGCATGCCTAATTTTTAAAGTTAAATAAATTGTGCCTCAACTGACACTTTAATAATTTATCTATGTTATGAGACGCCCGGGATGCGATCTCTCAAAATTGACTTACAAAATCAGGCTTGGCAAAATTGTACGAAATCAGAGAAACATAAATTAGTCTTCGTGCGTGGATCGAGGAGCACTAATATTGGTAAAATGGACATAAATCATATTCATTGAATGGAGAATTTTGTATTGCAATAAACAATACAGAAAACAGAGCAACAACAAATACCACGCAAAATTTGGACTTAACATAAAAGGTGTTGATTATTATTCTACTTAGAAGCCAATGGTTTTGTGTTGTGCACGAGCCCTTTGGGCATCAACCGTATTACATATTGGATTTAAGCATCAGTCATTTCATCTCAAATATCACAGAGTTGCAAACAAAGGGTTCACATACCTGTAGGATTCATATAGGGTTATTTATTAGTAACCAGTCCAACGTTGATTTGATTTGGTTTTCAAAAAATTGTCTAGTGGCATTGGCCAAGTGAGAAAGTTCTTTGCTTTGCATGGAGATGTCTACTTGAATGACACCATGACGAAAGTAAGAGTAAGACATGATGTTCCAGCACTTGCGCGATGAAGTCCACTAAACCAAGCCATCCGGTGATTCTCATGAAGACAGTTTTGTTAATTCCACCCCAGACATCCCCAAACCACAGCAGTTTCATGGCTTCTGTTCCTCACAGACAGATTATATGTCCGAAATCTAACTAACACAGTCCATATGCAAAAAAATTTCGTTGCTCGACACGAAACCACTAGCTCCGAAACAAAAACTAAATTGATTCTAATAAGCACATGTTATGTTAAGTCCAGGTCCAGGTTTTGTGTGGTATTTGTAACTGCTCTGTTCTCCAATCTGTATGAAAATATCAGCAGAAGATGCTGCTCGTTCCAGAGACAATAATATTCTCTTTCCATTTGACATTCAATACATGTCTATTCCACCAATGTTGATGAACAAACACACACATACATACATACACACCTTATTATATGTATATTTAAAATAAATATATAAGATATGACTAATATATTATATATATATTTATATATATATTTATATATATATATATATATATATATATACACATATATTTATATATATATAAAAACATAAATATTTACATATCTGCCTCCCTCTCCCCTCTGTCTCTCTCTGTCTCTCTCTGTCTCTCTCTGCCTCTCTCTGTCTCTCTGTCTCTCTCTCTCTCTCTCTCACACACACACACACACACACTTACATACACACACACACACACACACAAACACACACACACACACAAACACACTCACAGGAACACACGCACACAACAAACTCACATCTATCTATTTGTATTTATCCATACAGCCATAACCAGAGACAACAACAAAATAACAAACATTTGTCTCGACTGTTTCACAGGCGCCAATTCCATGCACGACGTTCCCACCAAGTACCAGATCCCGTTATTCTCGAGACTTTTCTGCTGCTTGCCTGACTCCTGGCTCAACTTCCTCAACTGTAAACGAGAATTCCAAAAGCCTGAGGTGAGCTAACCCGACGCTACCTAGGAATAACCAAGTTCTATTTTCTCAGTGTACCTAGTTTTGAGAAATTATGTGACGCCAAAAGTTTGGAATTTCATAACACGTCAAGCTTTTTAAAAATGTAATTCTTCGAATATCTTAATAATGACTCTGAATATTCTTAAGATTTTGATAGATCAGATAGAGCAATTGCTTTTTGACCTCATGATTTTAGTAACTGAAAACGGCCAAAAATGTTAGAACTTTGTAATTTTGAGGTAGCAATGAGTCACGAAGCGGTGGAATCTGGTGCTCGCCAATTTTTTGGGGTATATTATGGAGATATTGGTATAATCTTAAAGCGTGTTCATTTGTTTCGTTTTTAATAAGAAATTACCCGTCTGGCTTGAACAGAAGTCTAGGTATTTGTCATTGAAGGAAATGGGGAAGTGGGTGCCACCCAGTGTCGTTGGTAAAATTTGCTTGAAAATAGTTGCCAACGTCTGGAGAATTCCAAGGGCTTCAGTGTCTTTGGTAACTAAAAATCTATACTTTTGTGCTTTTGATCAATGTTTTACCAGTAAAATCGTCAAAGAAATATAAGTTGTTAAATCGACGGAAGGTGTTGAGGAAAAAATCAGTAAACATTGCTGACGAGAAGGAAAAAAGTAATTTCCTTAAATTTCATTATTTTGACAAGCCGCTTGAGTGCGCTATAATGTCACAAACAATTTTTGAACTGTAAAAATTAGTTCGTTAATTCATATCTTAATTAGTCATCTCGTTTTGTGTGTACGTTGGAGAGATAAATACCGGTATTACGTTAGTTATTTACTTCGTCATATACAGTGATGTCCAAAAGAAATTTGAAGATGTATTCACCCAATCTTCATGTTAAAACCTTGCTCTACCCACTCATGTAGCAAACCAATTTAAAGCTAAATAAATTCTGCTTCCTCTGAGACATTAGTTTTTCATCAGCCAAAGACTCGCTCGATACAGGTTCACTCAAAATTGACCTTAAAAATCATGGTTGGCAAATTTGTGTGAAATCAAAGAAACGCAAATGTGCGTTTATGCTTGTACTTGAGCGTATTAGATTTAGTGGAGAGGACTCACATTGCATATCTAATGAACAGAGAACATTATTGTCTCTGAGATAGGCAATGTTTTATTACAATATTAATTTTTTTTAGACAGATGGGAAAACGGAGCAGTCAAAAAATGCCACGCATAACTTAGAGGGAGAGAGAGAAAGAAAGAGAGAGAAAGAAAGAGAGAGAAAGAGAGAGAGAGTGAGAGAGAGAGAGAGAGAGAGAGAGAGAGAGAAAGAGAGAGAGAAAGAAGAGAGAGAGAGAGTTTTGATTAAGTAATGTTCATTTCAGTCAGTTCATTAGTCAGTCCCAAAGTAAGATAGGCTACCAAGTAAATGATCGGCATTAATTTGTCTCTGTTTCAGACTAGCTATGCATAGTATAACGTTAATTTGTTTACTACAGGCTGGTTCGTTGGGTAATATGCACATCCAAACTGAATTTTTACTGATTGCTAAGGTAAAAACCGTTGCTTTATTTTAATTCCTGACTCCCCGAAAGGCGGGCGACTTTTGGTGGGATGGTTTCTGGTTTGGTGGACTCGTGGTCTTAACCTTTCTTTTAGTTTACTTGTTTGTTAGCTATTACCGTTGTTCTTGGGTGATTTAGTTTTTGAGAGCTATTTATACAAATTGGTTATTTAGACCCTAGAGACTGTAGGCTGGCCTTTAAAAATAATTTCTGATTGTGTTTCCAGCTTCAAATCGGTACAAAAAAAACTTCCGTCGGTCTAAGATAAATGAAACGTCATTGAAAGACAGAGTATCTGTCTTTGAAATGTGCTTATCATGCCTGGTTTAGTTAGAATCAAACTTCATTATACTACTACTATTTCAAATTCCTTCCCTGACTGTAGGATATCCGCCCCGACATGGAGGACGAGGAGATGAGAATAGACCCTCTCACGTCAAATTCAAACGAAAAGGTTCTGCAAAAGAACGGTAAGCTGCGATGACTTTAGTTGACTCTACAAGATAACAATAATAATATTGTTTATTTAACTTATATAGATTGCTGTGTTCTGAGTATATTATTATTTGGTCGCTTGTCCTTACAAGCGGGCTAACCCAGATTTCGAGGGTTTCCAGAAATCTTGACCTACACTAAAAGTGGACATTGCCCTACCTATAGAAGAAGTTTGGTTTCATAGGTGTGTATATTTGTTTGGTTATAGAGAAAACCCTACTTGTCTTTTAAAGAAACTGAACAAGGGACAAAAACTTTACCTTCGATTTTGTCACAACAGCATTTTTCGAGATAGCCCATTTGTGCTTAAAAGCGACCATTTTTCGAAATGAATTCTTTGTTGTGGCATCCAGTCTTGTTTTTGTTTCTTTATGTTTGCTGTTGCTGGTTGTCGGTGCTGTCTAATTTTCTATTGTCCTCTTTGCAACTGTTGTTGTTTTCATTCTTGTTCTTGTTGTTATTCTCTTGCTCTTGCTCCTGTTTTTGTTTTTGTCGTTGTTGTCGTCGTCGTCTTCGTTGTCGTCGTTGTATTTGTTGTTGTATTTGCTGTTGTCGTTGTCGTTTTTGTCATTGTCGGTGTTGTTGTTGTTGTTGTTATTGTTATTGTTGTTGCTGTTATTGTTGTTGTTGTTGTTGTTGTTGTTGTTTCTTCTTCTTCT